TACAAGCTAGAGGTGTAGTTAGTACTATGTTATAAACCAAATAAAGTTGTTAAAAAAGTTGTTAATTCAAATGGCAGGAATTGAAGCAAATGCATACATCAAGGTGAATATGATTAAATAAGCACTTACACTCGACTTGTGCCTTCAGGGAAACCTGAGCGGGCGACCAGACTTGAGTAGCGCAGCAGAGTTGTGACTTGACTAGCGATAAGGATGGCGCGCGCCGGGTAGACACGTCAGTTAGTAATGGACATGTCTGCTTTAGGAGCCCAAGGAGCCTGTTGTCTCTGGCGGTGATGGTGTATATATGAGAGTACCAAGACAACGTACCCGTAATTGTAACTCCTAGATCGTTTTCCGCGGACACTCGCACAAGTTGTGTATTGTTTAGGATGTATTCGTAAATCAAGGGAGTTTTCATCCGCGTCACAGTAAGCGTTGTGCATTTCTAGGTGTTGAAGTTGATGTTATTTCCCTATGACCAGTCATTCACGTTTGCTCGGAGTGGTCTGCAGAGACAGATAATCGCTGACGGAGCTGACGTTTTTATGCAGCTTGGTGTCATCAGCGTATAACGCTGCCCTCATCCCGGCTACAGTTTCACCCGGGAGATCGTTAATAAAGATCGTCCAAAACTACCCTTTGAACTCGACCCTTTCGCAAAATCCAAGTAACATTAGTCTTAATGTTCTTATCCTTCTAAGTAGTGGATAACATTTTCCATTTAGCTCTGCACGTTTTCCACGATAGCTTGAGCACTTAAATGGTATCTACGGCCTATTTCGGAGTAAGAATTTAAAAGCAAATTAAGAAAATTCATTTTGCAGCAATTTTATACTTATTAGGTGACAAACTGATCCTTAATTTCATTTTTGATGTGCCTAATCCTTAGCCTTTCAGTAACAAATAAATCTGATGCAAATTGAATCTTTACAGCAATTGAAACACGATTTCGATCACAAACGTTCAATAAAATAACAACGGGAACTCAAAATTTCTTCCATCCATTTTTACACATCTCTTTATAGCTGTGTATAGCTCTGTTAAGCAGTGTATGGCTCTGTATAGCCCTGTATAGCCCTGTATAGGTGTGTATAGCTCTGTTTAGCTGCGTATTGTGTGTATAGCTGTGCAAAGCCCTGTATAGCTATGTATAGCCCTGTATAGCTGTGCAGAGCTCTGTTTATCTGTGTATAGCTCTGTATAGCTGTGTATAGCCCTGTATAGCCGTGTATAGCTCTGTATAGCCCTGTATAGCCCTGTGTGGCAGTGTTGACTGTGTTAAGCCCTGTATAGCCTTGTATAGCTCTGTATAGCTGTGTATAACCCTGTATAGCTGTGTATAGCTCTGTATAGCTGTGTATAGCCTTGTATAGCCGTGTATAGCTGTGTATAAGCGTGTATAGCTGTGTATAGCCCTGTATAACAGTGTATAGCCCTGTATAGCTATGTATAGCCCTGTATAGCTATGTATAGCCCTGTATAGCTCTGTATAGCCCTGTATAGCTGTGTATAGCTGTGTGTAGCCCTGTATAGCTGTGTATAGCTCTGTATAGCTGTGTTTAGCCCTGTATAGCCGTGTTTAGCCCTGTATAGCTGTGTATAGCCCTGTATAGCTTTGTATAGCCCTGTATAGCTGTGTATAGCTCTGTATAGCTGTGTATAGCCTGGTATAGCTGTGTATAGCCTGGTATAGCTGTGTATAGCCCTGTATAGCTGTGTATTGCCCTGTACAGCTGTGTATAGCCCTGTATAGCTGTGTATAGCTCTGTATAGCTGCGTCTAGCCCTGTATAGCTGCGTACAGCCCTGTATAGCTGTGTATAACCCTGTATAGCTGTGTATAGCTGTGTATAGCCCTGTATAGCTGTGTATAGCTCTGTATAGCTGTGTATAGCATTGTATAGCTGTGTATAGCCCTGTATAGCTGCGTTTAGCCCTGTATAGCTTTGTATAGCCTTGTATAGCTGTGTATAGCTGTGTATAAGCGTGTATAGCAGTGTATAGCCCTGTATAGCTGTAAATAGCCCTGTATAGCTGTGTATTGCCCTGTACAGCTGTGTATAGCCCTGTATAGCTGTGTGTAGCCCTGTATAGCTGTGTATAGCCCTGTATAGCTGTGTATAGCCCTGTATAGCTGTGTATAGCCCTGTATAGCTGTGTATAGCCCTGTATAGCTCTGTCTAGCTGTGTATAGCCGTGTATAGTTGTGTATAGCAGTGTATAGCTGTGTATAGCTGTGTACAGCCTTGTTTAGCCCTGTATGTGTGTAGGGTATTGTATGTAAAGTATACGACATAATATGTATTTAGGACATAATATGCGCCCATACATGACGTACCTACCAAACTTTTAGAATAATCCGCTGAACAGACTAACTTTTAACTCCTACGCAAAGGAGTCTGGGAACGAAGACTATTCGTTGTGGGATATTAGTGTGGGGGGTGGGGGCCGGGGGAGTCGCTCAAGTGGAAAAAAGGAGACAATGGAGGTTAGAGAAGAGAAGTGGGAAACAGGATAGAGAAATTAAATTGACTGAACAAGTAGTGCTGAAAAAGGAATGACCCAAGGCATAAGCTAAGGAAAACTTGGGGTAGGAACTATTCCTCCTCTCTCTTCATTGGCACAGGTAGGACCAAAAACTGATGAAAAAAAGAAAAAGGTTTGTTGCAAGGTAGTTTCCTTTACCTGACAGCCCTTTCTTAGAGAATTGAACATCCACTTCACATGAGATATAAAAAAGGTTGTTTTATTAAGAGGGCATGGCTCTCACATGTTTCACTCAATTTGCTTAGAAGGGGAAGTAAAAGACTGCACTGCACAGTTTAGTGAGCCTTTTAACCCAGGATCTGATTATTAAAGCTCCCCTCTAGCTGCTACACATTTCCATGTAAATTAGTTAAAGAGTTTGGTGTTAGATCAAGATAAAGACATTTACCAGATAAGGTTGAGTATTCTCATTACAATTATGCTGGATGATGTATGAATACAATAGGGAGAAGTTACATGTTGATCACTTCTGGAAGTTAAAGGGTTAAAACCCAAACTCCTATAATAGATCAAGTAGAATTAGAGGTAAATGATTTCTTTAATGTCTCAGGGACGGCACCAGGATTTTTTAGTTGGCTTTAATCTGGAGTGGTGATTGTGTTTATTGTCTTCATCATGAGCACCATCTAAGTGATAACAGAATAGTGGTAACAACAAATCTAGGCTAACTTGTAAGAGGCTAAGTACTGAGTTAAAACAATTTTATCAAATCCTAAGTTTCGATCAGAGTGAGGATTTCTGCTGACTAAACTTGAATCTTGAAATCTTGAAAGGTGTCAAGTCATGGGTTGGTGTCTCATTCATGGCCAGCTGTGCTAAAATCTTGCCACAAACAGGACCAAGCTTGAATCCATGAGCTGAGAAAAAGATACAAAAAAATTGTAGACAATTTTAACAATTGAAAGGGATGGTAACCAGCTGTTATTGAAACCTCTATATGTAAGGTCACTTAAATTAAGAAGTTACAATGTTTAGAGTTTTAACATTAAAAGAAAATCTATTTTCCTCTGCTAGAAGTGTCAAAGGACTATTAGATCACAACAATGCAGAATGAATTACCTGAAAAGCCAGCACCAATAATAATGTTAGAAAACTTGGGATGTTTATCCAACACAAAATTCTCATCAGGGGTCAGCTGGATTTAAAAACAATTTCAGATTAAGTTTGGTCAACCTTATTTCTCCTGACCACTTTTCCCTGAAGAAACATTGAAAAAGTCTTTGAGTCAAATTAAAAAAAAGTGTATCTGGCTTGTAAGATTGATTCATTGCTTAAGTGAATTCTAGAACTGTCCAAGTAATTGCATTAGGTGTACCTCCTTTTTCTGTGTCACAGAAATGAGATTATAACACTGGGAATGCCAAGATTTTTTGTACAGAGCTCAGTTATATCTAGACAATTCCTCATTTCTAAATTATTGTCAAGGGGTTTCCACATAACCTCCTCTTACTTTTAAAATCAGAGGTGTGTGATCCCAATACTTTGGGAAGGGGTGGTCACAATACTTCACTTTTCTGGAACCTCTAATCTGAGTTTCTCTCACTAACATCATTAGAAAATGTGCTAAACAAAGCTGTAACACAAGTTTTTTCATCAGGCATGAGAAAGTAAGTAGTAGGGGTGAGCTGGTGTGAGATAAAAGATTTTTAACTGCAAGTGTAAGTCTCACACCCAGCTAAGGGGAGATGGTAGAGCTAAGCACAATGACCCCTGTGTTAACTTTTTAGACTCAACACATACTGTGTATATACAAGTTTCTACTATGGTTGGCTCATGATGATCAAGGTATGGAAAGTGATGCTGGATGTATTCTCTTGTTCTCTGAATAATCCTCTCTTCAATTTCTCTGTCCCAATCTCTTGCATCTGGATCAATTTCCATGCAAACTTCTGGTAATCTGCATCCACCAGAGGGCCCAAACTGTGACAAAAAAATCAATCTTTTCAAGTAAGGGTAATTCTGAAAATAAATTGACTGATTGTTTTTAGTGGCACACACTTAATACAATTTCGACATCCTGGGTAGAACTCATGGTCAGACTTTAAAAGACAAAAATCCACCAATGATGAGATTGATCTGATGATTATTCCTGATTTCTCACTTCATAAACAACTCTTACCAGGATTACCTCTAGCTATTGGAGAACACAAGAAAATTCTCAAACAATTTTTTTGAATTTTTCTAACTTTTAAGAATTTTACATGGGAACATAGCTATTTTTTTCAGACAAGGAGAGTATTCTCTAGTTCCTCTACACAACTCTCCTGCTGATTCATTTTTTAATGAAAACCCTGTGATACTCACTTAAAGCTGTATTGCCAGTTAGTGTTATGTTAATGAATATTATGAATGTTACCTTCAGTAAGTATTACCTTAACCATGTCAGGATACTCAAATGAAGGGAGTGCATAAAACTTGCGAGGGTCAGATGCTGTATCATCATAAAATGTAGGAAAACCAGTCTGAAGACTGTATGTGCCTGTTTTTTTCACCTTCCAGTAAAAAACATTGGCTCTGAGTGGCTGATGGTTAAAAAAAGAGGTGAAGATCTTCAAAGGTCAGGGCCTTATGCAACAATAATCTGCAAAACTGACAATGTCACTGAGAAAATGGAAAATTACAAAGGAAACTATGAGAATTTTCAGTGTTCAACTCTTACCTTTAGAGGCAAGGTAATTCCCACAGGTTTTAGCAGTTTATTGGTCCAGGGTCCTTGAAAAAGTATGAATAGTATGAATAATAAGTAAAAATAGTCTCTGGCAAAATCTTCTGAAATAAAGATTCACTTTAAGATTTCAACTTAGAAGTACATAATTAGATTTTACCAAAAAAGGATTGAATCATTTCCTTTGTTCATTGTTGGGTGTAGGGTGTAGCAGGTATTCTAGTAGCAATGGTGAAAGATCACCAATTACGGCAGCTCTAGTATGCATGACATTATTTTTTAAATAACTCACATACAGCTTAAAGACTCAGTTCATTCACCTTGTAGTTTTTACTACCTGTGACAACAAATTTTTTTATTTTCAGTACATTCTCAACCATTTAACAATAATACATTCCAGCAAGGTCGAGGAAATTTCCCATTTAGGGAACCCCAACTAATCATTCACTGCTTCCTGGTCTACAGCAAACTTTAAAAAACCACAGATCTAAATAAAAAAAACCTCAAGTTTCATGACAGAGATAAGTGGTTTACCTGCTGTTAATATCACTTTGTGAGCTTTGAACAAATCCTTTGTGGTCTTTATTGTAATTAATGATCCTGGATGTATTTCAACCACACCCTCACCATCTCTTAGTGTGCCACCAAATGCAATAAACTGATCCTTCAAACAATTCAGACAACAGGACTAAAATAACTTTTTGGCTCCAAGTTTTCATGAAATCACAAGAGCTATTGCACAAGGTATGAAACAGAGCTGTACCTGCAACACTCTCAAGCATTTATCAGCTTTTAAAATTCCTGCTGAGTGTTCTAACAGAGCTTTGTAGTGAGGCGGAAAGCTCAACTCTGGAAATCTTTGCTTAAGTGTTTGGTTTGACAAAATATCATAACTTGCTCCTGCTGCATCAAGTGATTCTCTAACTTCTCTCAAATTTTCACCAGAGCTTCCTTCCACTGTTAACAGTCCAACAGTTCTGAAATTATTCATTCAGAGTACTTTTAAGCTAAGTCCTTCTTTCATACATAAATCAAGATTTACTGAACTTGGCTAAGTTCTCCTTGCATTCATAAATCCAGATTTACCACACTTGGCCTCTCAGGGCCAGGGAAGGGGTTGGGAGCATTTGGGTCAATTTTTGCAGAGTATGTGCCACTGGCCTCTCAGAACACCCTGCCCAATTAAAGTCTATTCTGTGGCTAATTATAGACCACATATCATGAAGTCATTATCAATCCAGTTGTGAAAATGCAACCCCATCCTGCAACACATCCTCATTAGCCTATTATTAGAAAGTACCCCCCCCCCCCCCCCACCTCTCGGCTGGCTGTTTCCAGGCACCTACTTGATAAGAATTTCCTGCTCTGCTTTTTCTTCAATCTCCTTCCACATTTCACCAGCTTCTCGAACCATTTTAGAATAATAAGGGTTAACATAGGAGAAACGAATGATTCTAGTCTGTCCATGAGAACTGCCACGCCAGTGAGGAAGAGGAAACTTGATTAAAAGAAATAAAGCTGTTAACAAGGACAAGACTCAAGGGCATAGCTAGGGAGAGGGGGTCCTGGCGTGACCCCTTTGTAAACCTTTTTTTTTAGCACACAACATACTATATTCAGGTGGCGAAAACCGGTCCATCCTCCCCTTTGAAAATACCTGGCTACGTCCCTGCAAGTGCTTTCTTTTTCATTGCAGTATCATAATGACCTCGTGACCTGCTCGTGGCCTGTTCGTGACTCGCGCTGTGCTGCCAATTTGTTCTTGCCTTTTTGAACGCGTTCTATCAATAAACTGTACATTAAATGGTCAATAACGAAAATGAGTTTATTTTATCACTTTTAGCCCCTACTGAGTGGAAGTTATAACTGACGGATCACTCAAAGATTCCCCATAGGCCCCGAGGCTGGCCGATTAAGACCGCAATAGCAAAATAAAAGCAGTAACAACAACTAGTCATATGAGAGACCTTTATCATCTTAATTTTTCAGTTTAGGTGGTTCTGAACCTGTAGACTATTGTAAAAAAACGGATCTTAGTATACTGATTGAAATCATTTCATAATCACTACATGATGCAGAATACTCTTCACAGTGTTGAAAGATCCTCACATGAATTAACCTATATTTAGTACCTGCTCCAATAGAAGTGTTCTTTGTCCTCGGGAAGCCAAGTAACGGGCTGTGGAGCTGCCCACCACACCAGCACCGATGACACAAACGTCGTAAGTTGGATTTGAAGACATTTTTGGGCAATATTGCCGTTAACAGTACCAAATATGACGTAATCACATTTCGATACTCAGCACCGGGACCGTCAGATGATTTTGAAGCCGTCTCGTCTTTAATGTCACACAACCGTAGCTACCAGACTCTCTCCTCATTCCCTCAAGAGGATGCTGAACAAAGCAGGGAACAAAGAAAATAACGCAAAGAGCTCACAACTTGTGAGTTAAAAGTCTGGTGGAAAACATCTCTCCGAGATCAGATGAAAATCGGTTAATTCCACCAATTGAAAATGTTCCTTGTCTCACGCATAGGAAAAAGAAAGAAAACCGAAAACAGACAAATAAGGAAATTTGAGAGAAATAGAAAACTGGACGGGCAGAAAATTTCTAAACCATGGAGGTATTTGCTGTCGATTCAAAATATCCTATCCTTCGAATTCTTACTTTAATCACAGTTCGTAACCATACATCGAACAAAAGTACAAAAATGGTTGACAGGACGGTAGTAGGGGGAAACTAAATTCCCATGCTAAGACATACCCTCCAAAAAAAAACAAAACAAAACAAAAAAAAATATAGAACAAAAAAAAAAAACAAAAACTGGTATTTGGGGTTATTATGAGCGGAGGTACTTAATTAGTGAAGCTTTAAAAGACTGAAGGCTAGGGGATGACATTACTTCAGAAGGCAAACAGTTCCAATCGTTAATATATCTATTAAAAAAAGAATATTAAAAATAATTTGTACGAGCAACTTTAGGCCTTATTTTATACTCATGCTTACTTCTAGTTCGAGTTATTTCAATAATATCAAAGTAATGATGGCAATTGATATCACAGTAACCAAATATAATCTTATACATTTGAACTAGGCTAAGGTATTGCCTTCTCAGTTCTAAAGAGTCCCATTTTAACTCTAGAAGTCTTTCAGGATATTCTTTGTCTGGGCCACATATTAGTCGGGACGCTCTTCTCTGAATTGCTTCGATTGCCTTGGTGTGTTTCACCAGATAAGGATTCCAGACTGGGCAGGCATACTCGAGGATAGGTATCACTAGTGCCTTAAAAGCTGTTTTGATACCAGTCTTGTTCGAATAACCAAATGTCCTTTTTATCAAGCCCAGGACCTTGTTAGCTTTAGCACAAATTGAGTTAATGTGATAATCCCATGATAAAGACGGCGTCAGCCAAAGACCCAGGTGTTTGTGGTGGTCCACTTCCGGTAGTAAGATATGATTCAACGAATATTGATATCTTACTGGGTCATTCTTCCGTGTAATGTGTAGGACTTCACACTTCTGGGTCTTAAGAGTAACAAGCCAAGACTTGCACCAATCAGAGGCAGGATTAAGTGAGACACAGGATTAAGGATTAAGTGAGACACAGAATTAAGGATTAAGTGAGACATCGCCGCTTGTAAGGAGACGAGTTTGATGGAAAGTACTGTCCGAGTTAGCATAATAGCGAATCCTGGAGGTGTAATATTTTCTTCCACGTGGAGAAGGTGCAATATGGCGGATCCGACTCGCAAGCTGATGAAGTTGATATATCGGCAAAATGCTTTCCCTCACGAGGTCAGAAGAAGCATAGCCGCATAATGAAGCTTCGGGCAAACAGTTCCAGTCAGTTTTTCGATCCGGTAAGGGTTGTAATTCAAGAAAATGCAGCAAAACTACGGATGTAAGAAAAAAGAAAGCTCAATAATCACAATGTACCGGTAGACTGAACCCAATCCACGAGAACTACGTCCAACTGAATACACGAAACGAAAGAACATGTTCCACATAACGCTGGGCTAAGCCTAGATCAGCAATTAACTCAACATTACTCCGCCAATTCAAAGTAATGAGACATTCGAAAAATTGCCTGCGTGAGCCCAAACGGTTTCGGAGTGATTACAATGACATCTTACGATATGTTAGTGGTATAAAGAAGAGCAATGCACAATTGGCCAATGCAGTGCGATTAAAGCTCTTGTTCCTCCACGAGAAGAGAAAAATTCTTAAAAGGACAATTTGAATATCGAAAGATAGTGATATATATATATTATTTAAAAGTACTGATTTATTCGCTTACCTGCAAAGGAAGACATTTTCCTTACCAATAATAAATGCTATTAACTACCTAAAATAATTCATGATCGCGAGAATGTACGCGAAGAAAGACGAAAAAGACTGCAAGCAGCCTGTGCTGGTCATACCGAGACAGTATAATTGTAGCTAAGAAAGAAAAGCAATTATTATTCTCGTGCATAGGTGGCAGAGCAATAAAGCAGGGGGTGTTATAGCCTCCCCTAGGCCTCTCCCCTGCGTTTCATAACGGGAAATATCATTAGCGGAACAGACAATTGTCTCAGACTTTTCTACGCAAAATTTTCAGTCTCGTGACTCATGACGAATGGTTTCATTTTTATTTCAACTACCAAGTAAGTTTAATCGACCACGAACACACTTGACAGTGGTTAGATTGCGAAGAGGTTTGCTTGAACCAACAACTTACGCGAAGGACAGATAAGGAAATCTGAGAAGAGATACCAATTCGGATTGTTTCAAGAGATTTTCACCAAAACAGTGTCCCTAGGGCTAATTTAGCTTTTTGCATCGCATCCTTATGCGGGTGGTCGAAATTCTTTCCTCTTTTGAAAATAATCGTGGAAACGGAATCCAACCAAAACACTGAAACATCATCAACTTCTTTATAGACTTGACAAAGTGGAGAGTTACGTTTTCGTCAAAATCCAACCCGCCACTTAAACACTGTTTCTTTTTAATTTAGTAGGGTTTTATCAGTTTGTCTTTAGTTCGGATAGCAGTCAAACGTAAGGATGACCATGGAGGCAAGGTAAGATAAAAAGTTACCCTGAAAGCTATCTTTCTCAATTTTAGAACTGTCGAAAAGGAATGAGATTAGTAGTAAATATTGCGATTATTGGTAAAATTAATAGATTTTCATCCCCAAACTAGATCTTGTAATCCTCTCATGCGATTCTCGTGATCTGAAACATCGTGTTTTTCACAATTGCAGTTACCTAATCGCTGCCTTGCAAATTGAATTAATACTTCTCCAGTATTGTAATGAAAATAGATAAGGAATGCATAGATTGCTAGACGTTTTCAACGATTTGTTACGATTCTCAAGTTCCTTGGACACTTTATCACGTAACTTTGGTCACGCTAAGAACATCGGAACTGATGTTGTTGTGTTTTATTCTTCCCGTTGTCTGAACCAACAAAAAGGCACGGGACAAGGTTACACCTTAATTGTTTCATTAATGATGGGATTGAATTGTTAAGCAACTGTTCAATGAATTTCAATGGTAAATTGGAATTGTAAGTATTTTGCAACATGGCTTGATCCAGGCCATGTTGTTGGAGAACTACTCCAGCGCAAAAGTGACACAAATCACGACTGAAATTCACCTTTTTGCTGATTGGCCGCTCTTTTACCCCGGTGAAAGGGTGGATTCAGTCCCCCCCCCCCCCCCCCCCCCCCCCCCCCGTGGGGTTTTCAATTACTTGTCTGACGCCAAAATTCTTGCAACGACAGGATGTCACTATACTCAATATAAAGTACAGAAAACTAACTTGTCTTGAAATATTTCTTGGCTCATTTAGGCTGTAGTGTAACAAAAAATGACAGTATTTTCTGAATCAAATTTGGACCCCAAACACCTGAATCCACCCCTGAGTTCACCGAAGTGTAATCAGTGATTTAGGATAGTACATATTGTGCTTTTGGGGCCCCTCTTTAGGTGAGATACTTAGGTGTTACAAGGCAAAGTGGGAGATGTATGGAAGGACGTGCATGACACACATGATCAGGACCACTAATGCATTTGATCTGAAACACAACAAATAATAATGATTAGCTTCATTTAAAGGGAGGAGCCCGTCTCAATCTCCTCCTAAACAACCGGTTGTTTACTACAGATGTACCTCCCGCCCTTCGCATGATTCTTTTAAGATCCAAACAAAAAAAATCATTAATTCAATGCCCTTAGTTTTCTTTTGTTTTTTTACTTTTGTACGCTGTTGTATGTTATCACAATTTTTCATCGCTGCATGGAATGTGTCATGTTGTGAAGTTTATTAGCGTAAGTACTTAAAGTTTGACATTAGTAGTTTCTTAGTTACTTCGTTTCGCTCGTTGGAGGCAGCGGTTCCTTCTCGTAAATCGCTACTCAAAATCGCAGCAAGAGCCACCTTAAGCAACAAATGCGTCCCAGCAACAAATGCATCATTCATAAAGTTCACTCTAATCCTTTCTCGAATCTTCTTTTAAAGTTTTTTAACTTTCTATTTTAATTTTAACCACACTTAAAATATTGATCCGTTAACCGCAGTCGCCTCCGGCGTAGGATATCAAATAAAGCAAGTTAAAATTTACAAGACTCCTCCCGATAGAGAGGTGTATTCATTTGGTCACGCGAGCGATATTGTTGCAAATATTATCGTTTAACTCTTTTAAATCCAATTTATGTGTGCTAAATGTGTTAAGAGAAAACTAATTTGACGACAGATTCTTAATTTTTACTGAGATTCGCTCAATTAAACGTGTGCCTACGACGAAACTGATTTATTTCAGATAAGTAAAGGTATACAGTGGTTACAAAACTTCCTGAGATGTTCCTTTTTAATAAATTCCGTTCGATGCTTCCTAAAAAATGTTAGGCGGGTCGAATTAGTATATTTTAACTTTTGGGGCAAAGTACTGTCAATTAACTCACTAAGAAGAAATTGAAATCCCGACATAAAGGGGCGTAATTATAGTACACTATTAGCGTGTAGAATTCCTTTAGTATTGTAAAAGTTCAGTGCAGTGTGAAATTCGCAAACAAAATCCGCAGTCTCGGAAAGAACTCGTTCGGCGTTCTGCACCGGATCAAGACAATTTTCATCGGTATAGAGGACAGGATGGGAATAATACATTCATCAAAATCATACGATCTCCCTTACATCCCAGATAATAAGCCACAACCCAGGTATGCACTCCGAAAACAATGTAAACAACATTGCCTTTGAAACTTGTAATGCTTAGTTAACACTAGTTTTGATGGCCACGAACAAAACAGTGGTTAAAAAATGATGGCACTCTTCGTTAAGCCTTTTTTGATTGTCAATCTCTTCATTTCAAGCGTCACTAAATATTTGATCCTCTCATTCGGCAATGTTCAACTCGATTGAATTCTCGTTGGCGATTTCAGTTTTAGTTGTTTATTGGATGAAATTCTTTCGTTTAAGCCATTGCCACTGAGCTCATGCTGCGACTGATGCCAAATGCATTCCCGAGTGTCGACTAAAGAGTAAATTTAAACTAATCACTTCTAAGCTTTTCTTGCGAAGCGACCCAAAACTTTCGCTTATCAAAGTTCACATTTGGTTCACTTACATGTAAGCGTTTTCCCTGTAAAACTGCAAATACCACTTAAAAGTCTTTCCTCTATTCATTAAGTATGAATTATCAAAGGAGAGGTCAGCACTTTAACAATCACACCTTGCACGCAATAGCTTACTAGTTTAGATTTCCGCAGATCATTTAATTTTACTGCACTTAAGGTTAAGCAGAAAGTTAGTGGCATAGGTTATTCCCTTCATTTAATTTAATTGTTTTCTTCTGTAATTTTGTTTTGCTATTTTGATCATATTACGCAGCAGAATATTTGAATTCCTGAAATAGTGGTGCTGAAATTATGTCTACGATCTATAACCTCGCTGGAGGTTGTTTAAAAATAGGTATGCAATGCGTACAAAGGTTCAATCGCAAGGCTATTCCCAAGCCCTAGAGATCGGGATGAATTGGAATATTTGTACACAGTTAAAAAATGACTGAGGCTGAATCATGTCGTTTTGACTTCAACTTGCAGCGGCGGAAAGTCATCTGAGTTGACTGATCTTCAGATTGAATTGATCCATGGCTCCTGGGAAAAAGTCAAACCAAATAAGAAGTACCATGGTGAACGGTTATTTCATAAGTGAGTAAGTTACCTCCTCATGTTGGCCATTATCCCTTTAAACCCTAACATCAGTATGCATATTCTCCATACTGTTCTCTAAACGTTTCCCAAGGTGGTGGCAAGAAGGATTTGTTAAACAATCAAGGGCTTCTTTAGTTGGTGATCATTTCCTTTATTCTCATGACCTTGATGCATGATTCAGGGGTGATACTGTAAGAAGAACTTGAATACTGGTCACTCTTCCAGTTTAAAGGGTTAAGTGAGGAGTAAAATAGAGTCTTTTCTCAACAGTGATTACACTGTCAGTAATGATTCCCATTAGAAAAATGGTTGACCCAAGTACTTAAATAAAAAAACATCATTAAGGGTGATGCCACTACATAGAGACAGCTGTTTCTGAAACTGAAGCTAGCCTTTGATCTGCAAAATTAGCTTCTTGCAATATATTGGTGCCGTGTCACTGAATAAACATTTGTCATAATAGGCATTTTCATCTCATAACTTTTATTGTCAGCTGTCAAAAAAAAATCAAATCAAATCAATAGCCTTATACACAAAAGCAAGATGTAAATCAAACCCTTTCTGGGTGCCTGTGTCATCTCTCAGGAAAATGCAAGTACAAAGAAATGTGAATTAAACAACAAAGTTTGTAACTTGTTTGGAGCTTGGACTGTATATAGTAACTGACAGGACTATCACATAACCTCAGGGTTCATCACATGATTCATCAAACTGAGGATTGAAAGAAACTCACCCAAGTTCTGCATGACTCGTAGACAACTTTGAACTTTTTGACAATGTTGATGAAGCTGTAGACAATGTTTCTCTATAGCCTTCTTCAGTCCAAGCAATAGTCATAGTTACAAGACTGGACTGGTATTTGTGGTTAGGGCTGTCTTACTCAACAGCAAAGGGTGGGAAATGAAGAATATGAGACTAGCAAAAAGTAAGATTGCTTAGAGCTTAAGCAATAGACAAGTGGAAACTTTTATCTGACACACCCTCAGAAATTTAAAACCAACCCTCATAGCTAAAAAGTTATTATTTATTCTTAATACTTGCAGGTTATTTAATGTGGCACCTCACTTGCAGGAGCTATTTCCATTCGGCAGTGACTTAACAAATCCTATGTTCACTACGCATGCCTTGAATGTCATGAACACGCTAGACCTTGCAGTACAACACTTGGATAAACTGGACATACTCATACCTAAGCTAAGAGAACTTGGACAGATGCACGCAGCATTTGAACTTACAGAAGTGGAATTTCAGGTAGTATACCATTTATCTATCATTATTCATGCATGTGAGAAAGTGTGAGGGTGCATGTGAGTGGGGCAGGGCAAGGGAATGGGAAGGGGTAAAGAGGGAGACTCTCCTTTTGTTCCTTCTTATCCAATCAACATTGAAGTAGTGCTAGTCTCCCACTACCACATATGAAACTAAGAGACAACTGGGGATGAGTCAGGCTTTTCACCCCTGATGATTATTGTACTCTCTAGTATTTCCTACCACACCTCCAATCCTTAGTTCTGTGTCATGGAAAATTACCTCTCAGTGCTCTGAACATTTTCCCTAGCTGAGATTGAGGTGATTTCTAATGATTTCCTTTTTTTCTCTCCAAAATTGTTCTTCTTTCAGTATGTTGGTGAGTCTCTCATATGGGTTCTAGAGACAGGCCTGGGAGATGACTTCACACCAAAGTTAAAGAAAGCCTGGTGTGATGCCTTTGCTATCATCACTAGTGTTATGTTGGGTGCCATTAAAGATATCAATGGCTAGTGAAAGACATCTACAACATCAAATCTAAGTAGTTCATCAGATTAGGATCCATTTTATGTGATTAAAAGACAAATACTCAGCCCAAGAGATAACTGACAGCATAATAAAATTTTGCATATTAAACATATCAAAGTGTCAAAATCCCTGACTCAGAGTGATTTTTTTCATTTGAGACTTTGGGAGTTTAAAGAAGTTGAAACTTCATGTAAGTTGAACCATAGTCAAGAAATCACATATTAAGTAATTGAAAAAAAAAAAATACAAGGACACCTTTGATTTTTCAAACGTTCAACTTCTAAAATTTTACAAAAAAACTGTTACAAACATATCGCTTTAAATATTAGTATTAAGAAAACAGTAAGAACTTCTTAACTGCAATACTTTAAGAATAATACATAGAACAAATCATTTTGTTCTTTTTTTTGAAAAAGTGTACTTTTTTACTGTCTCTCATTATTGTTATTCTACACTGAGAAAAATGTGACAAACAGTCTTCTTTGTGTTTATCTGAACAGCACAGAAAAGACACTATTTCACAAATGGTTGAAAGTACACATGTATCACATACAACATACTGTGATGTGCTTATGTACAAAAAAGGAACCATAACAATTCTATTTACAAGTAATTTAGAACTGGTTAGTTAACAGTAGTTTTATACAGATAGCATCTGAAAAAAAGATAGAAAATACTTTACAGAAACATTCATACTTCTACTGAGTACATTTGTGGGAAATGTAATGGAATTCAAGGTTTCTATCAAATTTTTAGGTGTCATAATAAACAAAACTTTTCTAGGCTCAAATGCTTTTTGGCTCATCATGATCAAAAGTTAGTATGTCTAATAACAGCACTCAGCCCTACTCTCCTTTATTAATAAGTATCACCTGTAGCCATTATCATTGTGAATGTTTCTATTTGTGCAAATGGCACAAAACTTAATTCATTGTTGCTATGTTTTCAACATATTAAGAAAGCTAAAATGAAAATCACAAGAACAGCCTTTGAAAAGTGCTAACCAAGAAAATGACACAAATGATGTAACCAGAATAATTTACAGAAACAATTTTCAAAAACAAAAAGTTGCCCTCTTACCTGGGAAAAACAATAATTATTTCTGTAAAATGAACTGCTCTATAAATTCATTTTGTTCACTCTCAACCTTTTGTAAAGCTTCATGTTGGACACGGAAACTAAAATAAAACATCAAACAGATCTCATTACATTCTTTTCAAAAACTGTGGTACTCTGTATATCACGAGGAAGACCAATCTAGTCCTTGCTTAGGAAGTATAAAATCAATAGGAAATATTATCAAAAAAATGGTAGTAGAGCAACACAAATATAGTTTAATCAGAATTATGAATAAAGGGGATAATTTTCTAAAGAAACTGTGGTGCTGTGTCCATAGGAGTTATTACAAGATGATTTGGTTTCATCAACTGAGTTGATAATGTAAAATTGTCAATGTAAAGATTTTCCTAAGCTAGCTAATTTAATCAGATTTAGTCTACTGGACTGCCTTGGTGGTTGATTCTTACCGTTCCAATTGTGTTTTCTTTTCAGCAATCAGTGCTCGTAGTTGTTGCTGCTGTGCTTCTCTCTGCTTTGCTATTGACTTTAATAGATTTCTTGAGCCAATAGCCTAAGGGAAATTTTGTGATTTAATTTGAGAGGTTAACTTCTATTCACATGCAACTTACAATCCCCTTTAATAATATAAACAAAAAAACTAAAATCCAGCTGATTGTGCACATAGAATGTTTTTTTGCACCTAAATAATCAAGTCATAATTAGCATTCAAGCAATTATGACTAATGATACTTGAACAGAAAGTACATATCAAGTCCTCTTCACAAACCCACTTAATCTGTTAGCAGCTATATCAACTTGCTTCAATCACCAACTATAGAAGACTGCTAAGGTTACTGCATGACAGAGGGCAAACTTAGGTAAAAAGAAAAAGCTGTTAAATGCCTCTGGGTGGGGGAAACCTCATTACAAAGATTTGTTCAGCAGGACTACTTACCTTTGTTCAGAGTTTAATCATCAATCCTTAGGCAACGTAATTAAGGGAAGTGCCTTATTTGAGAAGGAAACCGAGCCTTTAAAACCCTAACCTTGTTTAAGACAAAAATTGTTCATTTTGTTGCTTTGCTTTTTACTGAAAGACCCAGGGTCGGCTGGTGACTAACTTTTATGTTTGGGGAGTTATTGTCATCATTATAGCTCTAGAGCACTGGGCAACACAGATTCCTGAGGCCAAGGCCGTCAAGTGACAAATTATTCTACTTAAAGTACAGCTTCACCATTTGAGATGGCAACTGTGTGTAGAATTATTAATACCACACCACCTATCAACAATATCAAGCCCTGTTGAAAGCATTCTTTTTATTTACACAAAACCCTATTCAATATGGTAAAATTTTGTAACTTGCTTGAGATTCAAAACCCTGAAGAAAACAACCTCTTATGTGGCACATAGCTGTTTAGGCCGAGTTAGGGAGTCGTTCCAAAACCCCAAGCATCACTTTCGGTCACACTGTTTTACATTGCGTTAGTTAGGAAGTTGTTCAGCATAATGGCCATGTCTATCAATTAACAAAATGTTGTCAACTCTCTGAACAAGAATAAAACGTCAACAAAGAGACTTTGGGCATTTCATTTTAAAGGGTCAAATTGAAAACAATCTTACCAAACGCAGTATAAATATATGGCTGTCGCCAAGGTGACTTGCTCGGTGTTTTGATCATGTAAACAATAAGACATCGAGGAAGAGCAAATCATACCTTCATTTTCTCCTTCTCGACCTCTTTAGCTAAAGCATCAACCATATCGATAAATCCTCCCACTATTTTTTGAAACTCTCCAATTTCTAAAGGGATGAAAAGATTAATCAGCCTTAAAAATTGCGGCGGTTGCTAGAGGCCGCAAAAGCAATCAATAAATTTAGCAATAGCAAGTCTGTAGCAAAACAATTCACTTTGCACCAAACAGTGCCCATCATAAAATGAGTGAACTTACTGTCAACAAATTCTTTACATTCTTCCTTGAGTTCTTGCGTTTGCTGACTAATTTCAGGCTCTAAAACCCGAACTTTGTTTAGCTCATCGAAGTGAAACCCAGCCGGGCCGTCCGCCATGTTTGTTCGAAAACAATATCCCAGAATACCACGCGCGTTGAACGCGGTGGAAACGCTTTCTTCAGACGAGAGGCTATGGGGCTGAGTTTCCGTGCATATTCTTAGTCCTACTCAAAGTACCCTTTCCTGTCAACACCCAGCCTCTAGTCCCTCTTGATGAATTTTTTTCGGCGGGGAGAGGGGGTGACTGCACTAAAGTTGAAGCCAAACAGGTCTCCCATGCCTAGGCAAGTGTCGTCACACAGGTAAGGGATTATACAAAGTGATGTTTCACAGGACGTTAGAGTAAATCTGGCCACGATTTACCCCATTTATCCAGTCACAATTGTTTAAATTTACATCCACGTGTAATCTCGGCGGAAAATCTTTGCTAAATCCTTCTTCCCCTTTTATTAGTGTGGTTGTGTTTTCAAGAAGGACGGGCTACGTAGATGCAAAATCTTTAAAAACATTTCTTTAATCATCGACCGATTTAACTCTCGATATCCACATACGCAGCCAGCAAAGGAAACGTACTTGCATGCACAAGAAAACAGTCCTCAATGAAAAGTATTTACAGCCACCTTATGCTTCTCAGAAGTCCCGGCTAAGTTTACACTGTTATTTAGTCTACAAATAGTTTTTAACCCAACTCTTCCTGCAAAGAACAAAGCCGTAAAATGATACTAACCCAACCAATCATGTCCCACCAAAACCATACAACCGACCCGGGATAAGACCAGGGCTGTGACGAGTGGCTTTGATTCTTCCTCTAATTTTAATTCAAACACAAATTTCCTCGGCTTGATTTAAGCAAAACTGCTCGAGTTAAACCAATCAGTCCTGATACCGCACTCATATTGTTAATAATGGCATATCTACTCCAACAATAGTCGACAAACTGGTTTAAACTCGTGTTTCATTTCCATCCCGCTAATAGACTGATATAAGTAAACCTGAATTGTTGTAATCGTTCTAATCTCAGTTGGCGGTTAAAAATCAGCCACTTTCCTATTACGATTACATACCACGGGGAGTAAGGTTTTTCTCGACCTTCTCCTGAAATATATCTCTTACCATTTGGATTAAAGCAGGATATAAATACTTAGAAACCTGGAGGGGGCCTACAGACTGCAACTATATCCAATTCTTAACTTCCGCGAATTTTGTTCTAGTTCGTCAAAATAGAAACGAAAAGATTGTTGACTGAGAACCTGGGTTGAAATGCATGGTATTTCGTAAGGCATGGGAAGCCTTTTAATCCCAGGTAGTCTAGCCCCTCTGTGGTTTCCTTAACAACTAGACAATAACAGACAATATGACAAACAGATACACAAGAACATCGCACTATTTACTAATCTAAAGGCATTGATTATACGCTTTCCTGAGAGAGCAATGCGTCTGTTATCCATCTGATATAACCAAAACATGTGTGTTTTGTAAGAGACTAATTCTTCAATGTTTGTTTACCAAAAGAAACGGAAAAATCCAATAAAGGCACATGTTGAATTCGCGTTGCTAAACGTTGGCACGTTTAAAATTACGGATTCTGATAAACATGCAGACCAGCGTAGTAAAAAATCAAGTTTCTGCAGTTGAAAACTGCAGAATAGTCGACTAGCTTCTTTATTTAACGGTTTTTGTCTTGTTTTCTTGACGAATCGTCGTCATTTTCCGGAATAACTCGTGGTCCGACGGCTCTACGAGTTGCACTGAGTAGTTCAGCATCGGGAAAGTTCCCATTTCCTCTATGCTCGTACAAAAGAACGTTCAGGGACTCCTCGTAAATTCTTGAGTCCGGAAACTCGACTTTTGTCTGCGGTTTTTCTGTGGCATAGACAATTGACGTGCAGCACACCTCAGCAAGCTTTTTCCCGTTTCCGTAGAATGTCCAACAGCAGATTTCGCTGTTTCCGATCAAGTCCTTGATAAATAGAATTCGTCCATTGAATCGAAGCGACAGCTTGTCGAAGAGTTCAATATTTTTCAGCAAGTTATCATCTGATTGACTGTTTATGACCACAATAAAACAAAAGAAAAATAAAAACAAGAGATGCCATCATTTGCTAGTTTCCTTTTCGGTCGAGATACGCTACATCACGCGACACTAATAAACAGGGGATTTGCGTAATAAACAAAGTGGGGGGGGAGGGAACGTTTAGCTTCTCGTGTTTTTTAATGAGGGTAAATACTAAGGGAAAAACTGAGCTGTTAGAAAAATGTTTCTCATTTAAAAAGCAAGTAAGGTCACCTAGATGTACAACCCTAAAGTACACAGATAAGAATTTCTCTGAAGATCTACACTGTAAGAACTTTTCCATTGCCACTGGTAATGACAAGTTTGAAACTTACCCAGTATACGAATATTTGTTATTTGATCTGTTATATGACAGCTTCACCACAGGCTGTAGAGAAAGGGATAAAATTAATACTGCCTTCACAAGTTTCTGTTAATATATCAACCAACACATTGTGATGATTTTTAGCTGAGAATGTCAAGTAACAACAAATACATTTGGTCAAATTTTTCACTTCAAGATACTCTTTGGTGTCACGAGATGAAAAAGCCTGTTCAATTTAACAATTCAATTATCTCATTAATACTTTTTACCGAAGGATGATAACATGGGATGAAATGATCCCACAAGTGGACTGCAATGAACCTTTTACGCCCCAACAGCAGCATGCATATTCCCCATACTGTTCTTCATACATTTCCTTAAGTGCTAACTTGTTTATCAAACAAAACTTTCTTTGGTTGGTGATCAATTCATTTATTCTTGTGGTCTTACTGTGTGATTCATGGGTGAAATTGTAAGGAGAAATTAGACACTGATCACTCTTAACCCTTTAATCCCCAAGATTAGATTGGTAATTCCCCCCTCTAGCTGCTACACATATCCTTGTAAATCAGTTACGAGAATTTGGTGTTAGATCAAGACAACAACTTCCACCGGATGAGTTTGAATATTCTCACTAACTGTTTGCAGGATAATGTAAGGATATTATTGGGAGATGTTTCATATTGATCACTTCTGGGAGTTAAAGGGTTAAGGGTGGCAGGGTTAAATACCAAGACTAAACTTTTTACAGACCTTTTTACCAGTGACAAGTTGTCTTTCCTCTTTGGATGAGGTTATGAGTGGAACACGGCAGATAGGGTCATGTTCTTCCTTTTTCTTTTCAAGTGCTTTTTCACACTGTTCAACTAGTTGCTCAATCAAGTAATACTTGGCCTCAATCAAGATTTCTTGCAACTCTACTTCATTTTGTGGTAATGGTACAGTTCCATCGCGCAAGAAGTTTAGGATAAGAGAAAAATGTTTTCCACAGCGATCAATAAGAATCCAGCCTAAACAATGAAAAGTAGAATACATTTGGCATTATCCATTTACCATATAACAATCATCTCAAAAATATGATTGCATTTCCAAAGTTATGAGATTTCCATCACAAGCAGGCGTTGCCCCAGTTTTCTCCACAAATATAAAGGAACTTTAAGAACCTGTTGGGACTAATATCCCCACAAAACATCAGTAATACACATATGAACATTTTGTCCAAAGCAACTTCCACCAAGCCATTGAAAGCTTTTGAGCCCAACCAAGTTTCAAACAAAAGAATCTTAGTTTGTTTCATTACAATTAACTAATCACAAGAAGGGTAAATGTTTTGTTTTTTAAGGCAAACTGTTTTACCTCAATCACCAGGAAAGGAAAAAGGATTCCAAAGGAGAGACTGAAAAGAAGTGAGCAAATCCCTCAAATCTACATTACTTTAAAACCTCATCTTTTCTTATTTATAAATTTCCTAGAATATAAACTTTTTGTATATGAGTTTACATATGTATGTTTCCCTTTTCGATTCCCCAATCCCTGAACCAAATTCACCAACTAAAATTGGTGGATAAAATTATGATGGGCTTAAAGACACCACTGGCTGAAAAAGACAACACTGTTAGCTTAGTAACCTGGTGTTTCTGTAACAGTGTAAGCCATAGGCTTTTTTAGTAATGGAGTATTTCCTACTTGAATAATTTCCTCTCACTTCTGAACAAGAACTTGGAATATAACTATCAACTTTTGAGGACTTCCTTGGTGTGAAGTTCAAGGCACTTCCCTCAAATACCCCTCTATATTTAAGTCTTTCTGATTTAATTTTTTTTCCTTCTACTTTCCTTTCCTTTCCAGCAATGTACGCAACTTGAGACGGTGTACTGTTTTTGAGCATCAGATATTTATGAATGTATGTATGTATGCATTTATATAAATGGTGTCTTTTTGTGACAAACAACACAAAACCAAATCAAACCGTTTGAAAGACATTTCATTCACACCTAAAGCAAGCATTGTAAACATGGACGCTACATTCGTGAGACATTTTAGTGGGAAATCATACGGACAGTAATGAAATAATAATGGGCAGAGTGTGAGATTCTCTTTTTAAAATACCTTATTTGGTGATTTATCTCTATGTATATAGTGTGAGAGTACGAATGCAGAAATTATTGCGTTTCTCGATCATTAATTCTACGCCGCAACCAAATGTCGGTGTTATTGTACAGTCCAAATAGCAAATAATAGTTCATTAGCTTCGTTTATCTCTGGCAGCAAGACTGAAATTATGGCTGACAGCCGTTTTTATTCCAAATATTAATATCTTAAATAAAGCATACCTTCAGTATCTGTCAAAACCTCCAGTCTACCACTAAACATGGCTCTCAACATGCTGTCTTGCTTGGTGAGTGTTCCGATAGTCGTGTAATGGAGAGACCCTCCGACATTCAATTTAACGTATTTTGTCGGCGATCCATGCACAGTCATATGATGGGTTGCCTCTCCAGACATTCTCCTTCAACAATTGAGCCTCTCAAAGGTTTCCCTGGGAGGTGTGACGGACCTTCGCACAAAAATATGTAGTTATCGAGTTGTCTTGGTTAAATACCAGCTTCCCGAAATAACTCTTACACGGCTCATGTTCAGCGGATCATACATAAGTGTGGTATATGCCAAAGTGAAGTGCCATTACTAGCGACGTTTCAAAATTAATGTGACATGGCCAAAGAGAAAAACCCAAACAAAAGAAAATAGAAAAAAGCTTCCACGTCCTGTACTGATTAATTTTCTAAACGAAATAAATTTAAACATATTACTGCGCAAACGAAGGCTTTGGCCTCGTCAAACAAATTCCTCTTGATGTTGACAAGGTTGAACACGTTTCTCTATCTCCCTTATTTCTCAGTGGTCAAGACGTACAGGCATGAACAGTATATGTTCTCAACCAACTCTCCCAGCCGACGTAAAAAAAATCCTATTTATGAAAGAAATGTTGGCCTATGTAGGTAACTCTCTCCATTCTTCTTTCCCCATATGTGTTTTTACTTTGTCTCATAGTAACTTTGATTGGGTTTCCCTTTTTCATTCGTTTTTTTCTGTTGGTCTTCTGAGTAGAGTTACGTACGACCAGCCATCTCCCCTCTCCCCACCCTAGAAAAAAAGTAATATGTTAAAATATATTTTTTTCCTGTAATCCTGTAAGTTCTTGATGGGTTAGGGTTAGGGTTAGGGTTAGGGTTAAATTAAAGTGTCTAGCGACTAGTTTGAATGGGTCCTTGTCATTTGTTTCTACGTCGCGATGGTGTTCCCGGACTTCCTGTTTCACCAATGTATAACTTTTTGCAATAAGTGCAAGTTATACGGTGTATGACATTGGCGGAGGTGCACGTAAAATGATCAGTGATCTTGATGGATCTCTTGGGTTCCGAAATTTTCTCCTCGTTGTGAATGAGAGGACAACTTTTGCATCATAAGCGAGTGTATTTGAAAGTTCCAAGTTGGTCATTAGTTTGAAATGAACTTCTGACCAAAAAGTTGCCTGTGCCGGTTTTTGTCGCATTTGAATGGAAATCAGAGGAGGTTGCGAAAAGATAGCACCAGTCTCTGAATCGTCTGACATCGTGTTGACGATAGGTGCCATAATTTTGTCTTAATATCTGGAGATAAGTTTAGTGGGACAACCACAGCCAGAGACGATGGGTCGACCTGGGTTGTTAGGTTTGTGTATTCTAGGTAAAAAGTGAATACACGAAGTTTTAGGAGTGATGGTGGTGTGACTTTTTATAGTGGCCGGCAATTCTTGTTCAGTTATAAGATCGTAAATCGTGTTTTTGACAATAGTTTGGTTGATGAAAGTGAGATCCTCGTCAGAAAGTTGCCGTAAAGCTTCTCCTTGGTAGAGGTTGGCCCGCCAAATAACGACTGCGCTGCCTTTGTCGGCCGCTTTGATAACTATGTTTAGACATATTAGTGCCGACCACTCTTCTGAAGAAATGCTGACTTTGAATTTAAGTTTGTTACTATCGTGACGACATTTTTTGATTAAAAAAATCTAAAGATACGAATTGGCCCATCGGGGGAGTCCATTCAGACATTCGAAGTTCCTAGTTTGTGCAGCTAGCATGACATCACGTCTAGGCCTGTTTGCTCAAGGGATTTTACATCGCATAGCTAATTTTCTAATACAACCCTACGCCTTAGTTTTTCAGCTGGAAAACTGAAATAGTCATACTATACACAAAAATTATACGGGAATATGATAAAAAGCTCTTCTTTCCATGTCACGCTGTGATATAACACGTGTTCTTCACATGTCTCCAGTTACGTCAATCTAATTGGCTAGCGCGACTGAGACCGCGCTCTCGTTGCGTGTAAATAAAGTAAAGAAGTCTCACGAAAACCCTGAGGCGTAGACAAACGAAAATGTAGTCACCGAAATAGGTCAAGTGCATTCTATACCGGTTAAAAAGTGTTTTTCTGTTACCTTTCTGGATTTTGCAGTACGTCAACCATACGGATCGATTTCCGTGCGAGAGAGAAATGGATAGATAACGGATCTTTTTAACAACAACCATCAAAGGACTTTACAGTCTCGATTTCTCGCTGTTGTGTACAAGGAACACGTTCATACTGCACGCGGTCACAAGGTTGTTTTGAAATTCCCCGATAGCCAACTTATCCTCTTATCATGAGTCGGCTATTCACGAATCTGTCCTTCGAATCGTGGCTGAATCCGAACTGTCGGTGGATCTGCCGGAGTAGCGTAACGCAAATAAGATGCAATGCTTCGGTTTTTGGCTCCCAAACACAAGCTTGGTCTTACGTGAAACAACAAACTTTGGACGAAGCGTCTGCGAAGGTTTGTTTGAATTGTAGAGTAGTTGTGATGAGGCTTTCACTGAAGTTGATCTGAACCGGCGTTTTTTTAATTTAGTTTGACGAGATGAATAATCTTTTACCATTCTGTCATCTTCACGAAAGACGATCTTAAGTTAAAATATAATATTTAAAGCTGTCGTTAAAACATCGTTTGTGGTTTTGTGGACGGAAGGTGTATTCAATAAGTGATCTTTTTTTCAGCCATCGATTCGCCTGACCCCGTTCCAAATGCTCTGGGCCGGAAGATTCAAAGATGGAACCCACTTACTAGTAAGATAAAAGTTACTTGTAGCTTTCTCCAGAGATCAAGAATTTTACATTATACTAGGCTCGTTTAAATCTAATATGCTTTTTCTTGTATGGACATGTCTAAATTTTTTAAGGTATTCACACGGTTAAATGGATCCTATGTATTAACATAAAAGTGATATTTTCCTTTTTTAGTTATTTTACAAGAGGAAATTGTATGTTTTGTTGCTCATGCGTAACCCATTGCCATTTTATTGTAACTCAGAAAGAGAATATGATGATGCACTGTAAATAAAATCACCCTTTGTGGGATAGTTTTACACCCAGCAGGCTTCTCTTTAACCAAAGTACAACAACATACATTAAAAGTGGTCTTATCCAAGATAGCAGGGTTTGTACTCTTTAGTACTTTAGAAAAAAATAAAACATGTTTCCTTCTGTTTATGGGAATTGGAGATTTAAAAACAGCTATGCTCTATGCACTGGTGAATGCCCCTAAGCAAAAAAACATGTTGTAAGTGACAGTCAGACAATGCTTTATCACCTGGTACACAGGAAAGAGTCTGGAATAAAAGCTGTGATTAATTTTCCACCTGAGGGATGACAAGTAACCAATATACCCAAAATCATCCTTTTATTCAGATAGGTAGTTTTAAATTTTTTAAAAAATATTGTACCCCATGATTGTTTTGACTAACTATTCATTACATTTTTGCATAACAAGAAAAGGCATGCAAATTACTTTCTGTTTGGCTTTGCTATGAAAATCTTGAATAACTGCTTGCATTGGTTTTTGCTGTAGTTGCAACCTTTCCTCTAAATATTTTGACTGCTCCTAATTCAATCATTTTGAATTGAGAAAAAGCAATTTTAAGTTTACTCTTAAGTAAACCTGAAGTTACAAATATATTCTGCTCTTGAAAATCAGGCAGATCAATTTCTCTACATAATGCTAAGTTTTTCAATCAAGAAGACACAAACATGGAAAGAGTGATTTTTTTCAGCATTAATTTTTCATCCCAGTAAATATAGTGGTTGCTTATCATAAAACAATTTGTTGAGGCAAAGTTATTTTTTTGTAATGTGATGGCTTTAAATGTTTTGGTACTTTATAGCTACAGATAAGACTTGTTTATTACAGTTTTAACCTCAAAATGACTTGTGCAGAACATTATGAATTCTTGCCAAGCAAGAAGAATGCTAGTAAATCAATAACAGTATGCAACTATCTGGATTGGAACTTGTTCAAGAAGATTGTTTGAGTGTGATGACTCATGTAAGAAGAGGTTATTTTTAGACAGAATATTTAATTTGCTGTGCTAGCCCAAACTCTTGGCATTTCTTAGTTTTACCTTGGAAATCTATTGGTTATTTTTCAAGTTTACTTTGCAGCTATGAAAGCTATTGCCTCCTCCCTCAGTCTGTTTTAAAATATGCAGTGGATAGAAATTTTGAAATAACCGCATCTTTTCCATGGATAAGTGGAAAATATCTAATGTTTGAATCTTTAATAGCATCAGCAGCTCCCTTAAAAGTGGAGATAAAGTTTGTTTATGTTAAAGAACAGTAGTAGTTACTCAGTTGTTTTAATTTTTTTTTCAGTAACACCTGGTTGTGAATTTGTTTTCTTATGATACACCTGTGTATTAAGGACTAACAACAGTTATATAATTAAGCCTAATTGATGCTTTTTAATCTGACTTTGTATTTGTGACATTTTGTTTTGTCAGAAAAGTGCCCAGTTTCTTCAAAAAGAGTTACCTATTCGGGTTGCACGTCGTGTTGTTGACTTTCAAAAACTGCCTCACATTGCTCTGTGCAATCCAGTCATTCATGATATGGTAGGTGAACTTTGTACATTGCTCTTATCATTTATTTATCACATATGAATTAGGAATAACAGCAATGTTAAAATCCAGTGGATTAGGAGAGAAACTAGATTTTGTAGCCATGATGGGCGTTTAACTTGAGTTTGAAGAGTTTGACACAGCTTGACAAGAAGGATGGCCATATACTGGGGGAATGTACATGTACCATGATCAGATTAAGAAATAGATATCATGTTGACATGTGCTTGTTTTGCATCATGTTATGAATAATTTAGTTCATTTTTAAGATTTTAAATTTTGTCTTTTTCTTTTAGTTCATTTCTTGAGATGAGTTGTGTTTACTTAACACCCATTAGTTTTCTTTTAAATATTTGGAATCTGTTTCATTTTTATTTCAGTATGAATTATATCTTAGAGCTTTTAGTATGCTGTACAAATTTCCCAAGGTATGTTTTATTCTTTCAAAGGACTAATTTGTGAGAAATGTTAGTAAAGCTGCAAGTTATCAGTAGAGGAAGTACAAAAAATGCTATTGATAAACTTTTCCTCAGGCACCCCTAGTTAGCTTGTAGTCACTCTGGTTATCAGACTAACCTTTTATTCCCCAATGTTATTATGCATATTCTTGATTCTGATCCATATACACTCCCCATAGTAATGACT